TGTTCTGCAACGGCTTCTGCTTGCTTGGCAGCGGCTCTCGGAGTTGTGCGAAGTCAGATGCCATCGATGCACCTTTCAAGCGGGAGATGGAATCAATGTCATCGACTTCCTGATACTCAAACAATCGTGATGATGTACGGAAACAACGGACAGATGCGCCATGACAGCCTTGCATGCATCGTCGAACGCCGTCCCGGCCGCATCGACGTCAGTCATGCGCATGTACCTGCTTCGACAGACTTTGGAGGTCTCCACAGGGGCTTCCCTGTCCCTTGCAGATGCCAAACAACTTCCAGAAAAAAACATTTGCGGAGTGAATGCCGAGGGTCTCGAGACTCGGGGCAACATTGCGTCCCTGCTGAAGCACGCTCTTGACTTCCAATTTCCTCCCGCACGCCCACACGCAAATCGAGGCACCGATTCCCGCAGCACCCCAGGGCAGGAAAGCCATGACCTCCGAGGCCCTGACCGCGCGCAGCCAGAGCGGGCACCGCCCGTCCTTGCCGCGGTTCACGCTGAGGTACTGCAGCGTGTCGTTACCCGACCGAAGCACGCTGCCGACGGCAGCGAAACCGCGCCAGGTTACGTTCTTCCAATTCATGTGGAGTCTCCGCAGCGTCCTGTTGCGCCGCAGCATGTCCGCGACCTTCCTCGCCACGCAATCGTCCACCGTGTTGCCCGCCCAGTTGAACATGGACAGCACCTCCACCGACGAGTTCACTGCAAGCCCGTCGAGGATCGCCGCGTAGTCCGCCGGTTGAAAGCTGAAGCCGTCGATGCGCAGCACACGCAGCGAGCGCGTGCGACGCAGGCCCTCCCCGAGCGACCGGGCGCCCTCGGTCCATGGTTCGAACGTGGAGCTTAGCCGGGGACGCAAAGTCAGCTCGCGGATGGTCTTGCTGAGCTGCAGTCCCACCCCCACGGCGCTCAGGCCCTCGTCGCCGATGAAGTTCCCGTCCATGTTCACCACCTCCAGCGTCCTGCTCGCACCGATCGCAGCGCCCAGGGCAGCAACGCCTTCCCTCAGTTTGTTGAAAGACACGTCGAGCACGCGCAGGTTGCAGCTCTCGTCCTCGATGGCCTCCGCCAGGCTCGACGCGCCGCCGTCCGTCAGCCCGACGCACGACATGTGCAGGTCTTCCAGCCGCCCACACCGCAGCAGGCGCGCGAGGCTGGGCAATGCCGCGGTGAGGTTGAACGCGTTCTGGTATCCCCCTTCCTCACCACCGGGCGCAAGCGCTTGATTTAGGTCCAGGGTCCGCAGCGCCCCGCCCCTCGCATCGGCCAGCCCCGCAGCAAGCACCTCAGCGACCTCGTCGCTGAAGACACACGACCGCAGCCGCAGCTCCCTCAGCGTGACGAGCCGCGGCATGATCTGCGTGATCACGGCCTCGAGCAGCACGTTCTGCCGCAGCTGCAGCACCTCCAGCTGCTCGCAGGCCAGCAGCGCATCGACCATGGCTTGCTGGAGCGACGGATCGTTGGCGAGGTCGGGCGTCATGCTGGGCTTTGTCAGCCGCAGCACGCGCAGGTCGCGGGCGCGCCCGATCCACCTCCACAGGTCGTCCCACGCAAAGACCACCTCCGCCGGCACCGGCAGCCTGTAGTCGCCCTCCAGGCGGAACTCACCCGTCACGTCCAGCTCCTCCAGCGTGCCGTGATGCAACCTCAGACTCATCAGACTCCGTCTGTCGCATCGGCTCGTCAGCCGCACGACCTCGAACGCCTCCGCCGTCGCCCTCGTCGTCGCCGTGCAGCCGTCCGCCTCAAACGCCACCTGGGTGGAGTGACGCCCGGTCGCTTGCTGGAGTTGACGAAGCACACGCCGCAGACCGACAAGCTCCAGGTGCTCCGCGTCACCGCAGTAGCTGTGCACCCCGGGCAGCCGGGCGGGCAGGTGCAGGGCGACCACGCGCACTGGGTCCTCAGTCGCGTTGCGAAGAGACCATTCAAGGATCCTGCGGACCGCCCGAACGTGTGCCGTGGAGTCCCCGTTGCTGGTCGTTGTTACGCTACAGCCCTCGCAAGCGGCCAGCAGCTTGCCAGCATCGCCACTGGGCACGTGGAGGCCCACAAAGTCAAGCGTGGCCAAGTGGTCCCCCAGCAGCTCGTCACTGTGTTCCAGAGCCCGTAGCGAGTCCATCGTCGCCCGCAACGTCGTGCGGCGGTGTCGCAACACTGCGTTGCACACGTTGCGCGACGTCCCCATCAGCCTTTTGAGGTCCCCGTCGTCCAGACGTTGCGTGATCCCTGGAACGCTGTGGAGGACGTCCACGAACGTAGCGCCGCCGCTCGAGGGCGTACTGTGACTCCCGCCCTGCAACGCGCCGCAGATCCGCGCGGTGGTCACATGGTCAGGCCCACCCAGACACGGTGAGGAAGGTGCATCGTGATGGCCGCGCGAACGCTCCGATTCACGGCGCAAGGCCACTCGGCGCCGCATCGCTCGCTCGAGACGCGCGCCTCCAGCATGTCGCTGGGCGCCTGCAGCTTAGTCTGTGGTTGAGCGAGCGGCGCGAGCGAGGAAGCGTGGAGCACCAGCGGAGACGCATCGAAACGTCGATTCGCGTGCCCGGCGGTCGAGCACGATTTTCTCGGTCCGATATCGTGTTCCATCGCAAGAGCACAGCTGTGCAGTTCCACGCCGCGCGCGTCGAGAGCCTCGCGAGCCTCGCAACGGTCGCAATCGCGTGGAGCTCAGTGCTGGTGGGTTGCCACCCCCGCAGGCCGAAGCATCCAGCTTTCGAACGCATGTGCCCCCGAGGCGGAACGACGAGAATACATGTGTCACTCAGATACACGGCTCGGGCGAAGAGTGCGCACCATGATGCCGCGGGCGACGTTCCGACGCTTGTCTCCAAATGAGTGAGAACCGATGCCGAGGCAGAGAGCGAGACCCCGCCTTGAGCCACCCCTTCCGGCTGACCAACGTGATTGAGGTCCACGTTGGCATCGTGGCCGTCCCGGGGCAACGCGCGCACCCTTCAAGCCGGGGCCGGATCTTGGCGGCGCTGCGCACCGCCAGCAGTCTGACAGCCAGCTCAGGGCCCCGACCGACAACCCTGTCCGGCCCGGAGCTCTGCGAGGTACGTCGCAGCAACCTCGAGGGGTCGAGGACGGCGAGAGGCGGCAAAGCACCGCGGCAACACATCAAGCAGCCCTCGTGCCACACGGTAGACGTTTCTTTTGATTTATTTGCACGCAGGCAGCCCTTACGCACAGTGCGCGGCATCGCACCGACTGGCCCATCGGCACGCACATCTGCCTGTGTGCAGGTGTGGACCGTGCAGTCACGGTGCTCTCCCAGAGCAGATGGTGTAGGCGTTGCAGCGATGCACTGCGGCAGCGCCCCGCGCGCTCCAGCATGTGCCGCGGGCGAGGAGGCCCGTCAAGGCGTCGTTGGCGCAGCTGCTCACCTTGTCCTCACGCGGCTTCCCGGGCTCTCGAGGTCGCCAGCCCGAGCTTCACGCACACGACAAACAAACAAGCGCTCATGATCGCTCGGATCCCTCACGTGCCCGCCGATTCGGCGAACGTCGACGATGCGGCAGGTGCGTGTGCGGCTGCTCGTCAGGCCCCCGTCGCCGCTAGCACTGACTTCGAGCCATGGTGCAACTCTCCGTCATCGCTCTGTGCCGGACAGAAGCAGCGCTGCAATGGCCGAGCTCTCCGACGTATCGCTGCATATGTCATCAACGTGTTCCCGCCATCTGCGAGCATTGCCGGGCCGCACATGTGGTCTCGATGTCGTTGTAGCTGCACTGCAAGAACTTGCCCAGGTCGCGAAGGCCCAGATGCACGGAGCGCCGCCGCAACCGGGCCTCGCCGCATCACCCGAGTCCATTCCATCGTCGTGGCCGTACCGCAACATGGAAACGGCGTCGGGAACGCACCGTTGTCGCCGCATGCGTGCTTGCTGGTACCTCCCCTGCGGGTTCCGAGGTGCTTGCGGGCACGGCTGGCCACTGCCGTGACTTCGTGTTGGTCACTGGCGACGTACCATCCTGGCGAGTACCTGAAGGGTCTCGTCTCGCCCCCAGCACGTTCAGAGACAGGGCATCAGCCTCCTCGTACAAGTGCGGCCGATGTGCAGCCACTCAGACGGGCCTGGCTCTGCCATGACATCCCGCTCATTGCTAGCAGCAATGACATCACAGCACCGAGGTGCGGTGTCACATGGAGAGGCCGTGCTCGAACTTGGACAGTGCCGACCGTCCCAAATGCGAGCCGTCTCGGGCGAGTCCAACGCCGGGCCAGCACGACGAGCCTCGCCGCAAATGCGCGTGACCGGCATGATCGTGCTACATTTGTCTCCGATTCTGACGAGGTATGAAAATAGATACTTGCGCTCATGCCTGCTGACTCAGTCGTGGGGGTTTCGTGAATGACCCAAACAGAGCACGCTGCATGTTTCGTGCTCGGGCATGCCAGTGCTGGCGCGGCTCAGAGGCGGTAGGTTGAATCTCCCTCCCTGGAGGAGCCTCAAAGGTTCCCCTCATCATTGCACGAGGTGTGGGGCGAGAACACCGCACGGGAGCGTATCGCTGGCAGTCAGACGGCGCGCAAGTACGACACGGACACACGAGCCAGGCCTCTGCTCGGTGGTCATGACCTCGTTCGTTTGACAGACAAATCAGGACGGGTGTCACAGGTGGCCTCACCACCTACGCAACTTGGGTCTGATCGAAGCGCCGTCAGCTCCAACGACCCTCGATCTCACCTGCCACCATCATCAGCGCCTGCGAAATCAGGATAGCGACGGGAACACGGGTACTTAAAGTGCTGTTGCACACGTGGTGATGGAATCCCTACGAAAAATGCAAGAGCGCTGTGGATTGAGTCGTCCTGTCCTGAGCGACACTTGTGACCGGGAGATGACGATCGACTCCAAAGGAGCCAAGCTCGCGGCGGGCACGTGCGACAAATGCAGTCTGGTAGCCAGGCGGCTGCAGGGCGAGTACGAGGATACTCCAGCCGACGACGTTCGACATCGCGCCTGACTAGTACCTGCGCCTGGCCTCTTGCTCTCGCAAATACAGGTGGTCGCTCAGAATATTCACCAGCTCGCACTGCTCACGATGTTTATTGAAAGCAATGATGCCAAACAAGAAGGCGCCAGACCAGCCGAGCGCTCTCAGCCAGCGAGACCCGTGCTTCTTCCTTCGCTGTTCGCGCACCGGAGGGTACTCAAGCCGCAGGTCCCTCATCGCCCTATCCTTCCCGTTCAGCGCCCGGCGTATCTTGATGCTCCCCACCAGGGCGATCATGTTGCCCTCCAGGTAGAGGGCCTCGAGCGCTGCGTTTCTCTGCAGCGCGTCCACCAGCCGGTCGACCGTCTTGCCCACGATGCCGTTGCGCCGCAGCTCGAGCGCTCGCAAAGAGCGATTCTCGGCCAGCCCGCTGAACAACGTCGCAGCTGCCTCGCTGTTGAGCTCCTGGTAGTCGTTCATGCGCAGCACGCGCAGCCGCTGCGTCCGCCCCAGCCACTGCGCAAACGGCGCGACCCCGTCGGGTGTCAGCCTGCACGGCCGGCCGAAGCTCGTGGAGATCCGCAGCTCCTCGAGTGTCCCGCCACCCCGCAGCAAACCACGCCCCAGCGATTTGATGCCTCGGTCCCCGATGCGGTTGACGTCCATGTCCAGCACACGCATGTTTGGGCATCCCGGTAGCGCGTCGACCACTGCTTCGACGCCGGCGTCCCCGATCTTGTTGTGAGAGATGGAGAATTCGTGCAAGCTCTCCCCGCAGGCCCGCAGGACATCGGCGACCGCACCCGCGCCCGTGGGGCCGATGATGTTGCCGCTCAGGTCGAGGCTGCGAAGTGCGCTGCCGCGCGCGCCCATCGCCGCGACGAGCCCTCTCGAGATTGTCACCGCGCCCAGGTCGGTGATCCAGCACCAACGAAGATCCAGCACCACGAGTCTGCGGACCAGACTCAGCGCGCGTGCAAAAGGAAGCGCAATCGCATTGTTGAGGTGCACGGCTGTGATGGAAAGCTCGTCGATTGAGGGCGTTGCGATGTTTCTGTTGCCGTTGCGGTGCTGAACCGTCAGCTGGGAGCGGTCGATTGCAAGTCTGGCGATCGGCTGGCCAGAGTTGATGATCGTCAGGCTCGCGTGCCCCGTCGCCGGTTGTCCTTCCGCCATCGTTGCTTCAATCTTGTCACAGCGAGGCCGGGCTGGAATCAAAGGTCCTGCCTGCGCAAACCCGGAGTGCACGCGTGCACTGAGTGAGGAGTGTATCCGCGACACACGTGCCGCCGCGGGACGGCGGTTCATTATGTCGTGGCGGTTGACGTTCGTGCCTCGCAAGAGATGCAATATGACCAGGAACAGATCACGCCACGCGTGGCACTCAATGCAGATCGTTGGCGGCAATCCAACGTTCGTGTGACTCATAAAAGGATGAAACATGGGTGATTTTGCGCGGCTCGATCGTGAAAGGCGCAGCTGGTGCGGAGCAGACGGGCGGGAAGCCTGTGCTACTCGCGCCCCGTGGCCGTGCGAGCCATGCCACAACGAGCACGACACACTCCAATTCATCGGCTGAGCGGCTGACCGTCACTGGCAAGGCGTGCGCACCTGCTTGGCGGCGAGGAGATAGCTTCGAGAGGTTCGATGGTGTGGCTGTTCGTGTGACGTGCTCGCTCCCGAGCCGATGCGACTTGCCGTTCAGCGCTGTGGACTGGGATCTGGAGTCGCTTCTGGCGCGTTCCCGCTCGCCGCTGCGGCCTTGAGGGCGGCTTCGCCAGCCCACAGCGCAAGTATCGACCCCCTCCTGACGCACTGCTCATACCTCACGTCAGGGCCCGCGCCGCCGCGTCTTGCCCTGCCCGCGCGCCGCCGAAGCACCTCGTCCGTCTCGCACCCACGCCGGCCTGCCGCCTCGTCTCACGTCCACAGCACCTGAAAACAGCCAGAAGCCAAAGGGGAGCTCAGCCCCCACTTCGGCCGACGCGTCGCCTCCACGCAGGCACCACGCGCCTCACCTGCCGACGTCCGTGCCCGCGGCCCACCGCTGCATCCAGCCCTGCGCACCATGGTCCACGCGTCCTCCTCGCACCGCCGACTCTGGACTTGGTCCCAATCAGGGCCGGTACCCCGTCCCGCCCGCTCACTGCATCGCTACAAGGAGCTGCACGCTACACGCCCGCATCGGCCTGCCAGCACGTCTGTGGACATCGCCTGCGGGGGGACACGCAACCAGGATGCAAATAACGCTCTTGCGCGAGTCAGGTCGCACCGGCGTGGGAAAACATGTCTGTCCGCACAGGCCGAGCGCATCCAGTCACGTCCATGCATCGTACGGCCCGCGAGCGCGCCTTGCCAAGCACAATACAGCTACGGGAAACGCACCGGGGTTCACTGGCCATCTCTCCTGCGCACCGGTGGCGTTCCGATCCACAGCCGACCGTCTCCCCTCGCTTGTGCGCCCCATGACATCCGCCATGTCGTGCCCTTGCCCTCGCTCGCCGCCCCGCATGCCCAGGGACACAGAAACAGCAGCTTCCTGGCACAAGTGCGCCCGCCTCGCGGCCCTCGCGACGTGCTCGGCCCCGCCGTGGCTCCCGGCCGACGTCTCCGTGTCTTCGCCTTCCCGCACCAGCCGGCGATCGTGTGGCGGTCAGCCCTCGTCGCGTGGCGGCGCGCTGTGCAGTTGCTTCAACAGCTCGCGACCCAGCTGCACCGTCGCAAGCGTCTCGCGCTGCCCAGCACGCCCGACTGGTTCCATCTCGCCGCGCGCCGGCAGCGTCATACGTCGCCGCCCCAGCCCGCACTCGTGGGCGCTGTGTGTGGTGAGCGTTGGGACGTGCCCAAGCGCGGACTTTCTCGCACGAGTGCTGCCACGTCGCTGGACACAGTCTTGCGGAGTGTACGGGCATAGCAGGCTCGCGAGGACTGGACTCCAGAGCGTGCTCCGAGCACCACGTCAGCGTCCAATGACGCAGGTGGTAGAATAATGAAAATAGCTGTGTCCCACTTCCGCGGAGCACGTGCACGGTGCGCGCGCGAATGTCGGCGCGACTCAACCGGTCGTCGCCTCCCTCCACCGGTCGCTCACAGCCCGCACACGCATGCTGGGGAGTCACGGACGTCACATGGGGTGGCACTGGGGGACTGCTGGTGCCGGGGAGGGGTCCACACGGCCGGCGGGACGCTCCAGGGACGACTGAATGGCGGCGTCGATGGCGGCTCGCTTGACCAGGCAGACGCCGTCCTCATCGCACACCGGGCTCAGGTGCTGCAGCGTTGTGTTGCCATCATGCAGCGCACGACGGGGCTCGCCGGGACGACAGCGGCCTGGATGGACGCGGCTCGTGCGCGAGTCGTGAGAGCTGCGCGGAGGTTGCTGGCGAGCCCACAGGCGATGGGTGCGTTCTCACATCATTGAGAGGCCCTCAACGAAAGAGAGCCTGGTCTGCGATCCGATCTACCTCGTCGCCCTCCCGGCCGGGCCATTGTCCCCCGGCCGTCAGGCCCCTGATCATCGCGATGATGACAGAACCCTCCAAAAAAGTCAGGCCTGCCTCGATCCCAACCATGCCAGCCGCCATCGCAGAGGTGACGAAGCTGATGGTCTGGACAGGAGCTGGGGTGTCTTTGCCCTTAAAGGTGCGCCACCGGCGGCGCTCCTGCCCCTCGGAGCGGCCTGACGTTGCTGCAGCACCTTCTCCACTCTTCCGATCGCCAAAAACGCCAACGCATAAAGTGAGACGATTCCAACAGCACCCCAGCGGTTGGGCGGGGACCTTGACTCCGTGGCGGCATCCTTGGAGTTCCTGATCGCGAGCTGCCTGAGCGGGCACCGCCCGTCCTTGTCGCGGTCCTCGCTCAGGTATTGCAGCGTCTCATTGCCCGACCGAAGCGCGCTGCCGATGGCGGCGAGGCCGCGCGTGGTTACGTTCTCCCACAGCATGTCGAGATCCCGCAGCGTTCTGTTGCGCCGCAGCATGTCCGCGACCCTCCTCGCCACGCGGTCGTCCACCGTGTTGCCCACCGGGTTGAACATGGACAGCACCTCCACCGACGAGTTCGCTGCAAGCCCGTCGAGGATCGCCGTGTAGTCCGCCAGACGGAAGCTGCAGAAGTTGACGCGCAGCACGCGCAGCGAGCGCGTGCGACGCAGCCCCTCCCCGAGCGACCGGGCGCCCTTGGTCCAAGGTCCGCACGTGAAGGGTAGCCAGGGACACAAGGACAGCTCGCGGATGGACTTGCTGAGCTGCAGCCCACGCCCCACGGCGCTCAGGCCCTCGTCGCCGATGAAGTTCCCGTTCAGGTTCACCACCTCCAGCGTCCTGCTCGCACCGATCGCAACGCCCAGGGCAGCAACCTCTTCCCTCAGTTTGTTGAAAGACACGTCGAGCACGCGCAGCTTGCAGCTCTCGTCCTCGATGGCCTCCGCAAGGCTCGACGCGCCGCCGTCCGTCAGTACGACGCACGACAGGTACAGCTCTTCCAGCCGCCCACACCGCAGCAGGCGCGCGAGGCTGGGCAGTGCCGCGGCGAGGTTGGATATGTTCAAGTACCATAATCGCTCATTGACCTCAAGCACGTTACTCACGTCCAGGGTCCGCAGCGCCCCGCCCCTCGCCTCGGCCAGCCCGGTTGCCAGCATATGTACGATTGCGTCATTGATGCCGCACGACCGCAGCCGCAGCTCCCTCAGCGTGACGAGCCGCGGCATGATCCGATCGATCACGGCCTCGGGCAGCACGTTGTACTGCAGCTGCAGCACCTCCAGCTGCTCGCAGGCCAGCAGCGCGTCCACCATGCGTTGCTGGAACGACGGGTTGTTGACGAGGTTGGGCGTCATGCCGGACTGCGCCAGCCGCAGCACGCGCAGGTTACGAGCGCGCCCGATCCACCTCCACAGGTCGCCCCACTCCGAGACCACCTCTGCCGACAGCGGCAACTCGTAGTCGCCGTTTAGGTCGAACGCACCCGTCACGTCCAGCTCCTCCAGCGTGCCGTGATGTGCACCCAGAACGCCCGTCAGACTCGGGGTGCTGCACGATCCCGCCAGCCGCACGACCTCGAACGCCTCCGCCGTCGCCCTCGTCGCCACCCGGCAGCCGCCTGCCTCAAACACCACATGGGTGGCCTGACGCGCGGTCGCTTGCTGCAGCTGGCAGAGCACCTGCCGCAGTGCCACGAGCTCCGACTCCAAGCCAGCCATACCGGCACCGCCCGACTGCATTCCCGGCAGCGGGGCTTTCAGGTGCAAGGCAATGATGCTCAGGGGCGTCAGATTCTGGATCGACCTCTCCAGTACCCTCCGCACCGCCCGCACGTGGTCTGCGGGCTGCAGCGCTGCGAGCAGCTTCCATGCGTCACCAGCCGGCACACACAGGCCGTCGTAGTTCACCGTCAGCACGTCCCCGAGCTGCTCGGGGCGACGCGCCAGAGCCCGCAGCGAGTCGTGTGTCACCCGCAGGGTAGCAGGACGGTGCCGCACCACTGCGTTCCGCACGTCGCGGGACGTGCTCAGCAGGCTCATGCAATCATCAGCGTAGAGTCGTTGCGTGATCCCGGGAACGACTTCCAGGGCGTCCACGAGCGTAGCATTGCCACTTGAGGGCTCGCTCTGATTACCGCCCTGCAAAGACACCCGTCGAACGGCGCAGTGCGCACGGTTGGATCCAACTTGGGCGTGATGCCAGCAGTGTGACAGCGCTGGCTTCGACGTTCCCCCGACCGAGACAGCAAAGCCAGTCAGAGAACCAGCGCCCGCCGGACACAGGCACCTCGATCGAGGCGTCTGCGGCCGCCCCAGTGCGCGGGTATCCGTCTCCGAGGTCAGGCACGGCGAAGACAAAGCCACTGTTGATTCGCCGCTGTCGATTCGATTGCTCGGCGGACTCGAACGCGGCGCTCGGATCGCGCCCGAGTCCGGGGCACCGCTAGCATATTCTGCCTCCCATGCGGCCGCTTCGCGCTCGCAGCCAGCCTCGCAGCGCACCGCAGACACGCGTGCGCCCTTACAGGCAGACCTACAGCCGCAAAGCCGCCAAAACACGCGCACGCGGCCCGACGAGATAGCGTTCCGCGGACCCTCATGTATGCCTTCCAGCGCTGGTCGGTCGAGGGGTGCGCACCATGCTGCCCCGGGGAGGCGCCGCTGCTTGCCTCTTCGGGTGTGTGAATCG